GGGTCGGGGATCCCTACGGCGGGGGCCCGGGGGTGAAACCCTCACCCCGGTCCGGGCCCCAGGGATCTTTGGGTGACAACCCTGGTGAGCACAATTTGGATAAGTGTTCAATATTTCAACGTGTTTATGGCTCGATAACGATATTGTTAATTTTTACATTCGTTTGCTAGAAGAAGATAATGTAAGGTGTTTGTGAGAAGGAGAAGTTGTCCCTGCTATCGGCATTGTAAACTCCTTTTTTAACACTTTGCCTACTCGTCAGGAAAAATAGATTCACGCGCGACTTGGTCAGTGGTTTGTGTATGATTATGAGACTGGAGTGATATTGATTCCTGATCACAAAGAGAAGAACGCACATTAGGCTCTAATGGCGATCAACTTCAAGTGGCAAGTAGTGGAATGCTTAGATTCGATGCCAAGTTGTAATCACATGGAGCAGTTAAATGGATTGTTAGAGAAGTTGGTATTCGTTTTGACGAAGGTAGTCGAGGGGGAAGAGCCCACACTAAAGTTTATGGTATCCCTAGGCAAGAGGATGATAATTAATGTGGTGTTTTTGTACTCACGTACGCTTCTCTCCTCTTAATGGGTCATACACGCCCATAAGGATGTAATGAATGCCAGCCACAAATTGGCTTATGATATTTTTGAAGGTGGAGCGTCAAAGGCAGAGACAACCATGGACTAGGTTAAATGGGGGAGTCATATCCCCTCTCATTAACAACAGGTAGCAAAAGCAGGATTGCTTAATGGGGATAATAGTGCACACTCTATCTGTCAGCGAGGATAAAAAGGTAAGGGATGCAACTGCTGGCCAAAATTCTATGCACAGAGAAGACAACATTTTAGTGCGTAAAGAGAATTTCATTTGTCTATTTATGTTGTTCAATTAATAAATTATTCTCGACCAATGCATACATCGAAAGATAGTGATTTTCTACAGTAGGGGAGGGGAAGAAAGTGAATATGTTGTAATAAATTATTTTAACATCAAATTTGAAACTCGCCCCACCAAAAACGAAGGTGCTTAAACCATCAGTACACCCGACCCTGCAGCCCCCTTACTGCGCGCCCAGCCTTTCCGAACCGCCAACCATGCACTTTTTTCCTTTTTAGGTTGTCGCCACCAGCCATCGTGGTGCGGTAAGGCGAGCCTCCAAAATTGTTGTCAGCGACGAATCGTTTTTTCAACAAGGCTGGGGTCGTGTAATGGAGGATTAAGGGAACACTCCAGTCATTTTGGAGTGTTCTGCAGCGCATGTTTATTGCATATATGTGAGGGTATATGCATATATGTACGCGTACGAGGGTGCGTACAAGTGGCAACACAGGTTTGTGCTATTATTGTAGATAGATGGTATATGCAACATAGGTTTTAGTGCTTTCAGGCCATACAACGGCACCGTGCCGGTGGAACAACTAATATTTAGTGGGTTAACTTAACAAATGACATTATATAACATTCTCGGAGTTGA